GGGGTTGACCAAGATCTCAAAACAGTTCTAAGTACAAGGATTCAGAGGCGAACTAAGCTCAAGGTGACCTCGGCCACGCACACACCAAACGAGGGACAAGATCACGCAAGCAACACTAACAAAACAAGGCAAGGCAAAACTAGCAAAATAACATATCAAGACAAGATCATGCATGAATGTATGCAAGTAAGACAAGGGTAAGGTGAGGGTTGTTACATTGTCACCACCTTATTTGTCTTCCCTTCCCCTATCGCACACCCTCTCTACCTCACCAACAACTTATCAAATTCATAAAGATAGAAATTCAATCAAACCAATGTAAACCAGCTAATGTGCTAAAGAAATTTAAAAGCGCATCAACTAATAAAAAATCAAAAACATCAAAATCAACAACAAACAAAAATAATGATTGATTAGGCATAATATGAAAACTAGTTATCAATGAATACCTTCAATTATTTGGATGATGTCGTAAAAGTATAATTAGAATTACTTAAATTATTTCCTGCAGAATAACGCAAAAGATCATCTAGAGGGGATTCTATTTTAGAAAACCATGTACAACAGCTTTTGAATGTGAAAATGTGCAAGAAGTAGGCTTGGGAATTATTGGCCGAAATAACAAAAAAATGTAGTTAGGAAATAAACAATAGTACAGGAGTTACTAAAAAAAATTACATGAATGCTTTAAAAAAAATTACGTGAACCTCAAATTATGAGTCCTCTTCTTGTTATAATGCTTTTAAAATTACATGAACCTCAAATATACAAATAGATTTCATGAGTATTCAAATGATAAAATAAAAAAAAATACATAGGAAAAAAAATAATGAATCACATAAAAAAATGTTTACAAATAGTGATTATATTAGAAACCTAAAAAATTGTTGACCTTTAGCAAGAAAAAATCAAATTTCAGAAATAGATTTAAAAAAAATTCAAAAAATCATGAATCACATAAAAAATATTCTTACAAATAGTGATTATATTAGAAACACCAAAAATTGTTATTCTTAAAGTAAGAAGAAATCAAATTTCAAAAATTGATTTAGAAAAAATCCATACCAAATTTTCATACCTTTAACATAGCTTCACCATTCTACAATCGAAGAACCAAGGGACATTACAAATTCTCCTATAATACAAATTAAATAAAAAATAGATAAAAAATTATATCAGTAATGGGAATGGTTAAAAAAAATACAAACATATTTAATGAACCATGTAAAAAATATTCAAAATTATACAAACAATGATACTATAAAGAACAAAAATTGTGCTTGAGAGAAGAGGGAGTGAGTTAGGGATTGGGCAGAAGGAGTTGGAGCTTTAGGGGGGGGGATCGAGCAAGGCTAGAGTAGATCGGCAAAGTTCGGAAGAGGGTGGTTAGCACTTCATTTTAAAGTCAACTCACGAATACGATTGGACTGTATGACATGCTTCAACAATAGGATTTTAATTTCAGGTGGTTGCTGATTTTGCATATGAAAAAAAAAAAAAAAAAAAAAAAAAAAAAAAAAAAAAAAGTGGAGAAAGTAGAAGAATTATCCCTCTACTAAAAAATTATACATATTATTTTGAATTTGGATGATAATGTTGGGCCCAAAAAACCAACATCTACCTTTCTGTAACCCATTTACAAATGGATATGGTCATGGTTGTACAAATTCTCTCTCAAATGGCATACAAAAAGAAAGAAATTACATAGTACATTTAAGTCAACAAAAAAAAAACACACACACACACACACACAGAGTCAGCTCTATCAAGGCTTTAATGGTCTTTAAAATCAAAGAATCATGAGATTGTTGATAAAATGATACTATTTGTCAATAAAAAAACAAAGTGTTAAATGAATCAATGTCGAATTAAATTGAAAAAAATAAAATAAAATTAATGTGAGCCTACCAAATTTTTAGGTAATGAGAACACATAAATGTAATCAAATTCCAACCACAATGTTTGGATACAAAAGATTCTTAAGAAGTTTCACTTTTTTATCAAGCTCTCTAATGTGAGCCTATTAAGCAAATTGAAAGTAATGCTTCATGTACGAATTGTATGAATCAATCACAATTAAAGCTATAAAATAGATAGATAAATAAATAAATCAGTACCAAAAACACTTGAAAAAACTAACACAATTTTTTTTCCTAAAAAAATGAACATAAGAATTTGCCCAATCTTCATAAATACAGATGAATGATTTACCATTGCAATTCACTTATTTCAATTCAATAATTTAGAATAATAATTGAAAATTATTTACACAGATTGAAAGAAACTGACCAAGCTACTGCTATTCACAATGATGCACAATACAACGAAAAATAAAAGCTAATCGAGAAAATAGATATAGAGACATAACCTTGACACATATAGAGGAGATATAGAGGCATGGAGAGAGAAAATAATTGAGATGGTTGCTTTCCTTACAATGGTTACTCTTTTTATTAGGCAATGACATTATTGAATGAGAGAAAAAGAACAAACAAAATGAAATAAGGAATAATCTCCTTTCCTTTCCATTCATATTATGATCAAAGAATATGACACAATTACACAAAATAGGAGCAAAAGTGACACAAAAACCAAATATTTTAAGTTTGAATTAACTGATAAACCTTACAAAGCCCTATCGAGGCTCATATGGCCTTCGTAGGTCATCAAAGTGAAGAAGACGATAGAAAGGAAACAAAGCCCTATAGATGTCCATACTTTGCGGCTAGAATATCTTCAAAGTCACAAAATGACAACTGAAAAAAGGAAACAAATTCTCCGATGCATAAATTAAAACTTAGGATTAGGAAGAGAAACATGTGCATCTGAGAAAGGGAAGAACACAATGAAAACATAATTGAAGGTCTGTGACACTCCTGATTCCATAATTAAAATAAATAAAACAGAAAACACAATAACCAAGCCAGTTATCAACACTACATCATGACTCAAAAAAATAATAATTACTATAAACTCAAGGATGTATCAATAGCTCTATAACAATCTCCAAAATCCTAACCTGCAAGTTAGTTTAACAATAGATCTAAAACAATATACATACACAATGATGATAATAAATGCTAAAAAAAATATAAAATAAAAAAATTAGAAACACTAATAGCTCTACAATAATCTCCAAAATCCGAACCTGCAAGTTAGTTTAACAATAGATCTAAAACAATATACACATGCTGATAATAAATGTTTAAAAAAAATAAAAATTAGAAACACACGGGTTAAACACATTATGTAGAAACACAACTCATAATCACAACACAAAATTTCAATTAAATGGAACTCAAAATTTCAATTAGATCGTTACCTTCATAACATAGTGGGTTCTCTAGCGTGATCTGCAAAACATAGAAGATGAACAGATTCATACAGTAGATTGAGTTCGAAAGTTTCAAAAATGAAAAAGGAATAGTTGGCCCACATATCTAACTGAGGAGAGAAAGAGTGTTTTGTTGGAAGAAATTGAAGAAAATCTGAAATTGAAATCAGTCTCACCTATTGTAATAGGTTGACTTGGTCGAAGACGACTTGCAAAGCCCACCATTTGATCGAAGACGACTCGCTTGACTTTGAACAATTGAATGGAGTGGTCGGGGTTGCAATGGGCAAAAAAGAGAATGAATAGGGGGTTACGGTTTGGGTTGGGGCAGGGGTTGGGGTTGGGTATCCGCATTGGATGGGCTCGGATGGAGGGAGATCGGGTAGAAGAGAGAGAGAACCAAAGAGTATGTTTGACTGTATGTGAGAGAGAGAGAGGGGAGGAATGGGGAGAACGTTGAAACCTGGAATGGGGAAGAGAGAGAGAGAGGCATCAAACCCTTGAAATGTTTGAAATTTGAAACCTGGAAAAGCAAAGCCTGAGAAAGAAAGAAAAAGTGTGATCTCAACCCTTGAAATGTATGGCAAGAAGTGTAATCTCAACCATTAATTCGTATGCCACCTAAGACAAATGTCCCATCAACACCCTTGTTTTGTTATATAGATATTACAATAAACATGTTTTACAATAAGCTATTACAATATTACAATATATTTTAATAAATATTACATATTTATTAACACATATTTATTAACTCAATAAGCTATTATAATATGTTTATTAAAACATATTGTAATAACATGTTTATTATATTTATTAAAACATGTTTATTAAAAGAAGTCTGACATTGAGTTACAATATGCATAATTGTGTTGGTTAGCACAATCAAACATGGTGTATTTAATAAACATGTGTTAATAAACATGTTGTATTTAATTCTATATTAATATGAATTCAATTGTGTTGGTTAACACATTAATAAACAGTTTTTCTATTTGTACATAAATTTATTAATGTTGTATTTAATTCTATAATTAATTTATGTACAAATAGAAAAATTGTTTATTAATATGTTAACCAAAACAACTGAATTCATATTAATATAGAATTACCTACAACATGTTTATTAACACATGTTTATTAAATACAACATGTTTAATTGTGCTAACCAACACAATTATGCATATTATAACTCAATGTCAAACTTCTTTTAATAAACATGTTTTAATAAATATAATAAACATGTTATTACAATATGTTTTAATAAACATATTACAATAACTTATTAAAACATATTACAATAGCTTATTGAGTTAATAAATATGTGTTAATAAATACAACATTAATAAATTTATGTACAAATAGAAAAACTGTTCATTAATGTGTTAACCAACACAATTGAATTCATATTAATATAGAATTAAATACAACATGTTTATTAACACATGTTTATTAAATACAACATGTTTAATTGTGCTAACCAACACAATTATGCATATTGTAACTCAATGGCAAACTTCTTTTAATAAGCTATAATAACACATTAATAAAGATGTTACGAAGAATTGTGAGAGTCGTTACCAGTGGTCTAGTAAAATAGATTTGTGCACACTATTATAAGTTCAAAACAATCCAACAAGGGCAACTTCAAGAATACTCATTTACAATGTTTCTCACTACCTATTTCTTCAACAAACTATGCACCCTCTTCTATGGTGCTTGGTCATGGTGGTGGGACACCAACAATATATTTTTTCTATTCACTCTCATCGTTCTCGCAATCACATGGTACGTTTGGATCTTTACAAACAATAGCAAAAAGAATCAGCCACCGCTGCCACCGGGCCCACGCGGCCTACCCGTGGTTGGAATCCTCCCATTCCTTGACCCCGAGCTCCACTCGTGTTTCGAGAGCCTCAGTCGGACTTACGGTCCGATCATGAGGCTCCCGATGGGTACAAAGGTGGGAATTGTGGTCAGTTCGCCATCTGCAGCACGGGAAATGCTCCGGGATCATGACATCACTTTCGCCAACCGTGATGTCCCGGAGTTGGCCAGTGCTGCAGTGGCGAAAGGTGATTCAGATATAGTTTTTAGCCCGCATGGGCCCGGGTGGCAGATGTTGAGGAAGGTTTGCGTCCGGGAGGTACTTGGCAGCGCCACCCTTGACTCGGTCTACTACCTCCGCCGACGAGAGATTCGAAATACAGTTAAATATCTCTACAGCAGGGTCGGGTCTCCAGTTCATATGGGTCAGCAGATGTTTCTGACTGCTCTGAATGCAATAACAAGCATGTTGTGGGGTGTGACGGTTCAGGGGCAAGAAAGGGCTAGCATTGGGGCGGATTTTCGAGTCGTGGTGGCGGATTCAATGGAGCTTTTGGGGAAGCCCAATTTGTCGGATTTTTTTCCAGGTTTGGCCCGGTTTGATTTACAAGGGCTGAAGAAGCAATTGTTGGGGATAGTTATGAGGTTCAATAGGATTTTTGATGCAATAACTGATAAAGGACCAAGATTGGAGGGTGGTAGACAGAACAAGGATTTTTTACAAGTTCTGTTGCAGCTGAAGAATGAAGGAGATGCCAAAACACCTCTCACCATGACCCATCTCAAGGTCTTGTTCATGGTATGTTTTAGTCTCTTCCAATTTAAATTCTTTATGGCAAGTCCTAAAATTCATTCAGTAATACACAATAATAGCTAATTTATTTTTACGTTATGACGAAATGTCAATCTGTGAGTATAGGATATGGTCTTGGGTGGAACCGAAACAACCTCCAATGCTATAGAATTTGCCATGGCAGAGATGATGAACAAGCCAGAGGTCATGAAAAAAGCACAAGAAGAGTTGAAGACAGTAGTAGGCAAAGACAACATAGTAGAAGAGTCTCACATAAACAAACTCCCCTATTTACAGGCCATACTAAAAGAGGTCCTCCGATTGCACCCTGTCCTCCCTCTCATGGTGCCTCACTGCCCGAGCCAAACTTGCATTATCGGTGGCTACACAATTCCAAAAGGCGCTCGGGTTTTCATCAATGTATGGGCAATTCATAGGGACCCTTCAATCTGGGAAAACCCGTTGGAGTTTCGTCCAGAGAGGTTTTTGGATGGAAAATGGGGGTACAGAGGAGCTGATTTTAATTATTTCCCATTTGGGTCTGGGAGAAGAATGTGTGCAGGCATAGCCATGGCTGAGAGGATGTTCTTGTTCTCATTGGCTTCGATTTTGCACTCATTTGATTGGAAATTGCCCGAGGGAGAGAAGTTAGACCTGTCAGAGAAGTTTGGGATTGTGTTGAAGAAAAGAGTGCCTCTCATGGCAATCCCAACACCAAGACTATCTAATCCTACACTTTACGAGTAAGCGAGAAACGACCATCAATCATCTATTTCACTCTCTGTCTCATCACTATCAAATATTACCCATGTGACTAAAAACAAAGATTAGAAGAATATGGGACCGACAATAGTACAGGGAGTGAAATAAATGAACTCAACCTACTAGCAAAAGTAAAAATGATATATTGTAATATTAGTTGCACTTTAAAAATCTAATGCAATTCTTTCTAGGATATTTACCAATAAATCTTATCTTACAAACAAGAACTCTAATTAATCTCAATTTTTTTCTATTGATTTGTTACCATCGAGATATATGTTCCTCAAATCCAAGCTTGCACCTGATCAATAATAGTAATAATAAACTGTATCTTAAGAAATGTATAATTTTCCTGCAGTCACCAATGTAACTAGGCTTAAAGTGACATGTTACTTGCAACAAAACTATCAAAGACATGCCATGATCCTAAAAATTCTGCATACAGTTATTTGATTTCAAGAAACGATGACAAAAAATATAAGGATTTCATATGAATGGATACCTCATCAGCCAAATTAAAGCATTTTTTTAATTTGTCATCAAATTCTTTTTCCTTCTCATCTAGTTGCCTAGTTAGTAAGGTACCTAAAAGTATGAAGCAAAATTATCACAACTTACAAAGCTGAAAAAAAGAGCTTGTACTATTGAAAATAAACAAAAAAAAGTTACAAGAAATTGGAGTATAAGTCAATGTGTCCATACAAAAAGGATTGTAATATTGCGTACCAAAAAAGAAATATAACTTTGGGAGGGGGGGTTCAACTTGTTTATGCAAAAGGAATATGATCCTACATTTAGAAGATATTTCAATTCCCCAAAGAGCAAAATGTTCAAAAAATATTTAAATTTAAAATAAACAGGGAAATTTGGTCGGAGGACTGGGATACATGGTCAGGAAAATTGTGCCATTATGCTGAGTTCTTGTCAATGACATTGACATCATCACATTGCCTATTGACTTAAAATCTTGATCACAGCACACCCACCTTATCTCCACACCCTCCCGTGAGAATGACTGCACTACACCACTGACTTCTTTTAACAGTGTTAACAATTTCACTCTTCCATTTCCTCTACTAAATCAAATTAATGAACGTTATGAATTGACCTGAATCCCATCTTTGTAACAATTTTTTGAAGTTTTTATTCTAGGTCTTTTTAGACAACAAACATTCCCAAAGTTGTCTTTTCCCCCCCCCTCTTTTTATCAGCATGCTCGTTTACTCTCCTTTGCCTATTAAGTTGATCTTTTTCCTACCTCACTGAACTTGTCCAACAAGTTATTTAAAAAATGTAAGTGAAGTTTTTCATGTAATCCTATATGCAGTCCTCTAGATTTCACGACTTCCTAGCATATTGCTAAAAAATTTTGGTTGCCTCTTTTCATATTGAAAAGAGGTTATTTACCTCAAATCTAATTCTGCAGTCTTTCTTGTTAGGCAATACCAACAAGCAGCCTGTTTTCTTTTGCATCTGATAAGTTATACCAGTATTACTTATAAGGAAGTTTCATAAAGAATGAGACACTTTTAATCTTATAAACATAATGTTCACAATCAAGATAAAGGAAACATGCACAGAACTTGACAGAAGATACCTGTAAGGCTGCTGAGACGTTCTTTAAGTCTTGAATCTTTTAAGCCAGTTCCAGATACAAAAGCTACATCTGTTCTGAAAGAAATCCTACCCGAGATCTACATAAAAAACAGAAAAGCATATGGGGTAGAAGAGAAATGGAAACCTGAGAATGGCAATCATAGTCCGTGGACGCCTGTAACCTGTTACCTCCCTGACTGCCTACCTGAAATACTAAAATGTTTGAAGAATCATCGGGAGTGTCTGAGAGTTGCGAACGACCAAAAATCACAAACAGATTTTCATCGAGGCTCATCTTTTGTTTCTAGATTAAGATGGAAGAATCAAAATAGTAATGGCAAGGGGTTGAGATTTAAAAAATCATGCAGCTAATTTGAGGGTGACCTAATCTAGAAACAAATTTATGTTTAATGTTCAATATAACTAAAGATGATCCTTCACCTAATTAGACAACATTTTCATTTTAGGTCTTTCCACTTCATCTAAAAGAAAAATCATGAAAAAAATTGTGATCTTGCCATTGAATCAAGATGGTTAGTACTAAGATTGTAAGATAGCAAAGCATTGCCGACTTTCCAAAATGGCCCAAATAGCTACTTTCTAGATGTGAATCAACAAGTAAGAATGTTTGATTACTATTCACTATTCAGATCTTAGACTCATGTTGTTTTTCCCTAGGCAATAGAGTATTCATAGAACAAATAAAACTAATAGAGTAATATAATTTTATGCACAGATATTACATGAAACAAACACGCTATTGTGCACCAAGACAATCAAACAACACAGAAACAGAACAAATCTTTCTATATAAGGTTCAAGATAACCAAGTCAAGATACAAGCAAAGTAGGAAGAATTTTGAGTAATTGAATCTAAACCGTTCTTATTGAATGAATACATTTGCGTAATTGATATGAATTATAAATTAGGAAGAAGAAAACTAGGGCACAAACCTTTGGCTGTGGGTTTCTTGGCAAAGATGTTCATGATTTATAGAAAAAATATGAAACAATCAGCAATCAAAAATAAAAATGAAGCAATCACAATCACACAAAGCGATGCACAATGGCATATAATTGAATGGGACTTCCATTTTTGTATATCCACGTTCAAAAGTACATATGATCATACTATAACTGTTTTTGTACACATCAATAAAAATAATGAGTTTGCAAACTTTGATGTCTAATTTCCTAACAATGTTAGACACTAAGCTTCATTAATTTAACGAAACGAACAATTACAACCAAATTCATCTGATAAAACCTAACATATTCGTATAATTTCCCTTCTCGATCAATTTTGAATCCTGTTATTACTATCATGAGTCTCATACACACACAAAAAATCACATACAGAATTGAAGGCTCTTGAGAGGAAAATGAGTAGTATTTCCTCATTTGTTTATAAAATCACATAAACAAATCAAATAATATTATTTTGAGATGTAGAGATCTGTTAAATCTTGAGGAGTAGTTTTGTTATTTCACACTATTTTTTTTCCTAAGGTTCTGACAATACATTGCTTTTGGAAAATTCATATAAAAACAATTTTGAAAACCTCTCATTAGCGATCCCGAAATTCCAACAATAATTTCAAGCAACCAAACACTTTCAAAACCAAGCCAATTCAAAAATTGCCCCTTCCATATGAATCGATCATAGAAATTACGCTTACTGATTATGAATCGATCAAAATCTTCAAATTCATCAACAATCGATCGAAATCTTCAAATCTTCATCAACTATTGATCAAAATCTTCAAATGAACAATAAAATTGAGATGAAGAGTCCAAAGACAGAGTCGAGTGAGTGGAGAGTGGAGAGTGGAGAGTGAGATTTTGAGAGAGAGAGAGAGAGTTGATACCGTTGGAGATCGGTCTTCAAAGGAAGAGAGCAAAATGGATTTGGGAAATAAGAGTAAAAAGGGGATAGGGCAAGCTTTACAAGAGTTGGGGATTTTTTTTTTACGTTAGTTAAGAATACGATTGAGGATTAAAATAAAATTACATTTTAATGTAAAAGTGATTTTTTGCAACAGTCGAACAATCGCAAAAAAAATATGCAAAAAGTCATATTTGTAATAGTGTATGATTTATTTCCCTCCTTGGCTTAGCTGTTCCAAATTGTTCAATATATGATAATACTCTCTAACATTACATCTTGGCCCTATAATTGGATTCCATGCTTTAAAATGGATAATAACATGACATGTTGATTAAGAACATTAATGTGTCCAAAAAAATAAAAACACATGATATATATGCCAAGCACATATGACCAAAAAAAAAAAATCCTGTGTTGATTGCGATCGTCTACTAGCATAGTTTACATTTGAGCGAATAATTTATTTGTCAACATCAAAATCATCATAAATTGCATTGGCATTACGGAATAAATTTTCAGATAGAATCTTTATAATGAATCAATTGCTTCTCATTTTTTCCTTTGTTATTTTTAAAACGTCCCAAGTCATGTTAAGTTTGAATACATATTTGTAAAAAATATATTATATGAGATGAGAAAAAAAGACTCAGATTGAAAATTATCTTTAAGAGCACCCTAAATCTAATTTTGTTACAAAATATTTGGAGATGTTCGATCTCAAAACCAATCGGTGATAATAGATGGAAAGACCTCTGAACCAAGTTTAGATGGTTTGAAGAAAACAATCTGCAACAAGCTTTTCCTAAAACTGATAAGATTGGCTTAACACAAATTTCAAGTTTTATTATTATTTTTTGAGCAAACTAATGTGACATGGTCTAACTACACATTTGTATTTGAAATGCTCATTGATTTGAAAGAAAAGTCTGTTTACATAGGCATTGGACAATCAGCAATTCATTTAGGGAAAAAAAAAATGAACATAAAGTTCTCAACTTTTGGGTAATTAATACAACATGCAATTGCATCATCCTGGGACTTTCATTCCAAACATGGAACCTACATCAACCACCAGAACCTTTTTATTTTATTTTCTTTTTTTTAGTAACAATCTTCTCTGGATTTTACTCATATAGCATTGGGTCAGATAACCTCGGCGTTGGGATTGCAACAAGAGGTACCTTCTTCTTCAACACAATACCAAACTTCTCTTCCAAATCCAATTTCTCTCCTTCAGGCAATTTCCAATCAAAAGAGTGCACAAGCGAAACAAGCGAAAACATGAACATCCTCTCCGCCATTGCAGTCCCTGCACAAATTCTTCTCCCAGACCCAAATGGGAAATAATTAAAGTCATTCCCACTATAATCCCACTTAGAATCCCCCAAAAATCGCTCTGGATCAAACTCCGACGGGTTTTTCCAAACTGAAGGGTCTCTATGCACAGCCCACACATTAACAAATACAGGAGCACCTTTGGGAACAGTGTAGGCTCCGACAA